ATCTTGGCCAGTGGGACTATATAAGTCATTGACTCTGACTTGATTCTTGTGGATTCATGGATTTTCTTACAATAAGCAACAGGATTTCAGCTTCTATACCTTACACAAGACATTTGGTGGTTCTGGGCAGTCTGGCATGGAATAACATAAGCCCAGTAGGCCCACCCAGTATGCCATATGGCCTATATGGATCTAAAAACTTTCCCAGAATCCTTGATACTGTGGTAGAGGTTCCATGGTAGATGGTGAAACTACCTTGTCAAGTATATTCAAGTAAATAGCATTCCCTGAGAGCAGAAAATAAGAAAAAACACTGAAAAATAAAAGACACAAGTGCATGAAAAACAAATTCATGGAGGATAAGGCTGTTGATGGCTATGAAGTGTCATAATAACTAGATATTTTCTCCAGTATTGGAAGCAGCATACCTCTGATTACCAATCTCTAGGGAACATAAGTGGGAGTGTATTGTTGCATCTATGTCCTCATACTGTATGCTTCTGATCAGTATCTGGTTTTCACTATGGGAACAATGTATGCAGTACAGAACTTTGGTCTGAGAGATGGTGACTGATGTTATGAAGTCTGACCAATTCTACCATTCATGTTTGCCCGCTGGCTTCTTTGGTTATGGACATGAATAGGTGTCATATGGATTTCAGGTATCTGAGGGTGGGACAAACATGTATAGGCATCCTTCAGTCTCGAGAGACTATGGTAACATGCTCTGAATCAAGGGGTGTCCTCTCCAGAGCATGAAGCCCGGGTAAGGTAATATGGAGGATAGGCTGTTACCCAAGCAGCAGATCCCCCCTCTCCACATTGCTGAATGGTCCAATGGAAAGGCAAGAGCCAATACAACTGGTTCCAGCAACGTCGCAGGAGTTGGCAGAACGACACATGCTGCCTTCGGGACTCCAGCTCCGGATTTTGCCTCGAGGTTAACTCCATAACCCAGCTATGGTTTAATATGACATTTTAAAAAAGCTGCATCCAGTGAAATGAAGACAAGTAACTATGAACTCTTTCTGGCTCACCTGACTGTGGGAACTGTTGTTTCACCAAATCATAAGGGTGGTTGTTTAAAATAATGGGAACACAGGTGAAGAAAAGGCTATTTCTACTGCATCTACAAAATGATGTTCCAACCCAAAATCTGAGTTTCTGTGCCTGTTATTAGTGTGAAATCACTTACTGGAAAAATCAGACATGCATTCTCTCTTTTGGTTGCTGCCACTCTGTAAAAGAAGAGGGGATTTGTTGCAGCAATTTCACAAATGCAAATTTGTTTCCCTTTGTAAAAAAAAAGTAAACCCAGGGAGTTTTTTTGTGTTGTGCGGAAAACAGGAATAGCTGTCATAAATGTGTTATTACCAGACAGTCTTTCTGTGACCTTGTGCAAAGGACAGTTATGGAACAACAATAGAGATTCATTCAAGCATCTTATCTCCCAAAGAATGCATGTGCAAATGCATGCTGTGGCCACCAGCCCGGTGAAGTAAGACAGGTGATTGATGTTAACTTAAAAGCCATTGATTTTCCTGCCTGCCTTGGAACCAGGACACAAAACAGATAGTGTGTCTTCTGAAAAGATAGGTCTCAGGTGAGGTTTAATTGCAAACAACAGTGCCAACATGTTGTAGAACAACTGATACAATGTGGTTGGAGGGGGAAATCAAAAGCCTGTGGGGGGATGATGTCATTCATATGTATAGTGCCATCCAGTAGTGCAGTCACAAATTCACACACACACACACACACACACACACACACACACACACACATGACTAACTGAGCATGCATGCACACATATTCATACACTCCACATTATATACAGTATATAGCTTCAACTGTAGGGCAGGGTGGGTGGAGGCAGGAATCCATGGGGAGGGGAGAAGCTGCCATCCAGAGATGCCTCCCCTTCTTCTTGCATCACTTGAGAAATACAGCAGTGGCAGCAGCTTTCCTACTACTCCCATGCAAGACGTTAAAAATCTGGAGATGTTTCACACAGCAAGCTGTTCAAAACCCCCAGGTTGCCATGCAGGCAGGGTGTCAGGGGGAGCTTATTTCATGTGGCTTTATCTGAAACATGCTTGCTGGATAGGTCAGTGAGTTAGGTATCTGGCTGCAGAGCTAGATGTTGGGAGTTCGAATCCCCACTGTGCCTCCTATGAGTTAAGCTAGCCTATGTAGCCTTGAGCAAGCTGTACTGTCCCAGGATGCCCCCCAGAAGTAGAGACTGGTAAACCATTTCTGAAAATTCTCTGCCTGGAAAACCCAGAAAAGGGTCGGCATAAGACTGAATTGAACTTGGTGGCACATGATTATTATTTATCTGATACCTGACAGACAAGCAGGGAAATGGAAGGTGGTACTTTTATGTCACAACCTCCAAACGAGAAGGTCTCCAAGATAAAAGGTGAAAATACCTTGACTACTAAATGCCTTTTATTTTCCAATGCATTTCAATCCCATGGGGAAATACACAGAACTATGTAGAATCCTGTAGAATTTCAACCATGTAGAATTCAGTGGTGAATATTATTCATTCCATTTAAAAAACTTCATGTTGCCTAAAGGTGCATCAGCATATTATATACAATTCTTCTAATGTAATTATACTGAACACTTAGGGTTGATGTAATTTTTTTCTGCACAACTGTACATAATATTTAATAATATGCCAGCTTACATAATATTGTACTTACTTAATAAAAAAATGAGTCAAGCAAGATCTTCATTTGCAAAATTGCCTTCAGCCATTCTTAGATAGTTTAGATAATATCTACAACTGTTTTTGGGATGTACTGATCTGAAAACTCTTGCTTCATAGATTTTATGATGTGAATTTTTAAATTGCAGTTTTCTCTTAAATTCTTCTTATATATACATGTGTACCATATTAGGAGGAGCAAATTAAAATAAGTATGTGTAGTTAGATCAGCTCTCATCTGAGAGCACAGAATGGAGATTAGGGAGCACAACATGGGTTATGGAGTTACAATTTCATTTTGAAAGCAACTTTTTCAGTAAATTTCTTCATTTCATCAGTAAAGCACATTCCTTTCGTTTGTTTTACATGTTCTGAAACTGGTAGCCATGTCAGTACTTTGGGAACATAATACCACTTTGTTTAATAGAGCCAACATTGAATTTTTTATATAGTACAGCCCGAGTGAAATGTGCGCATTAGACATGGGGACAAATATAAAAATGAATCGGGATATTCGTTGAATATGATTCATAAGATATTCGTTGCTTCGTATTCTTGAGGTCCAGAGACCCTGACGAATATGAAGCAATGAATATAACCCTCTTATATTTATCCCTTCATTCCCTCTCTGCTTATGCTCCCACGGATCAGTTGTTCCTCGGGGGCATAAGCAGAGAGGGATTTCCCGTTCAGGTGCCTTGCTAAAGCCTGCCTGACGTGAATCCCACCCCCGGGGCTATGGAATCACTTGGGTCCCACTTTCCCTGTTCTTCCTATGCCCGTGTGATATAAGAAGACAAGGGAAGGGATCAAAGTGGTCCCCAGCCCCGGTGCCTAAGCAAAGGCATCAGGGCTTGGGGATCGCTTAGATCTGGCTACACTCCTCTTCCTATTCCCACTGGGGGATTGGAAGAGTATAGTGGGACCCAAGCAAAAGGCAATGTGACTGGGGGATCGCTTTGATCCCTTCCCTCCTCTTCCTATGCCATGGGGCCGGGGCTTTCTTTTCTTATTTTTTTAATAGTCCCAGGAGCTGTCTAAAAAAAATGACCCAAGGAACTGACAAATTGACTCGTTGGGCCACTGAGGGGGCCATTCATGGTTCATCAAGTTTTATGACCCATGAACTAAGACGAAGCCACATTGTGGCGGTTCATCCCCATCTCTAGTGCACATACATTCAAAACCCACTTACATTTGCCAAAATTTTCTCAAATATCCATAACAAGTATCCTAGCAACCAGTCTGTGTGCAGTGCCCTCAAAATCCACTAAAACACTGTCCACTGAAGTATAATGGAAGAATTAGGATCATGTCCTGTAATGAACACCTAATTTCTGCAGTTAATGAATTCTTCCCATAAACCTTGGCCTATACAGTAAATGCTAGCCTGGGTTCTTTCCCATTATAATTTATTTAGGTTCATTCATGATTTGAGCCCTAGTGAAATAGTTTTAGACTCACAAAATGCAACTCAGTTTTACATATGTCTACACAATGTATGAACCAGCACAACACTTTACAGCATATACAATAAGTGAGGAAATCTCTTTCTTAACTCTAATCTCAGTGATGAAAGATAAGAATGCTTAAAAACATTTAACTATCAAATAGCATATTCTTCTAACATATATAAAGAAATTTACAGAGCAGGCTATTTTCAATATAAGGCCAGTGGCCTACTGTGAGTGGCTTTCCATGGATGTGTTTCGCCAATGGTATTCTACAATCTCTAGCTTGCCATTGTGCCATCTGGAGATCTCTCCCCATGCCTTTAATAGGACTTCCTCTTCCACAAGAGGTACTCAATGTTTGCTTACTCAAGCTCCAGAAAGGACCCATTACTTGTGCAACAGAATTGGGTCAATGAAGGGGTGGACTCTAGGGAACTTATAGCTATTGTTCTCTGTGGACTTTTTTACTTCTACTGCAAAGTAAAAAAAGGAATTTTCCCAAAAATTCAAAACTCTGCAGCACTAACAGCTGCTGTCTTTTCCCCAAAGCCCAACTGGTCAGCTGGACCTCTGGGAAAAGTGGATTGTGGAAGCCTGTCCCAAATTTTCAGGTAAACAAATGAGATATTTGGAAGCAAAACTTTTAAAAAATTAAACCATCAAACACATAGTGAATAGCATTATGTTTATTAGAGACAGAGTCAGAATATTATTCTGAAGAGACGCTTTTTTAGGACACTGTCTTTAGCTTCTGCTATACACATGCAGTCAGGTGGCACTTTTATGCCACAGTCCCCCCCAAAAGGAAAATTAATCACAGGAGACAGATCAATACTTAACTAGCTCAGCGCAGGAGTTCAGAACAGTTTATTATGAGACAAGAAAACTGGAGGGTACATGTCATTACTGCATACAGGCAGAACCTTGCATTTAAACACACACAAAAATACCAACTAATCAGGCATCTGTAAAAGGAATAAGCTACTTTCTTTTCCTTGCACTGATATTTTCCTTTTTCTCCTTTATGTCTTGAAAATAAACAGCCCTCCTTCCTTTTATGGAGGAAATTTTCACTATATCTAAAGCAATACAGTGATGGTAATGCATTAAACAGCCATTACAAAGAAATCAATGTTTGGTTTTCCGAAAGCATGCACATTTCTATTTTTTAAAAAACGTCCATTTTATTTGTAACAGAAGTGTTGCTAGGCTGCATATTAACAGAAATCAGTCACCTGAAGCCACAGTAGAACAAGGGACCATGGGTGTATTTACACTACCAATCTGGTTCCTCTCAAGGAATCCTGGGAGTTGTAGTTTAAGGATGGTGCTGGGACTTCTATAAGAGATCCATATTTCTCCCTTCAAGATGCTACTGTCCTCAAGACTGGGACTGCTAATTAACCTTCCTCCACAGAGGTTTAACCAAAACAGAATGCACTGAGTGTCTTCTAAGCTATTTACTGCCACCATGAGAGATGCAGTATATTGAAGGATAGCAGCAGAATGATACTTAGAGTTGTATTCGAATTAAAGGTCCAAATTCCAGTTTCTCCATCACCCACCTTCCAGGGTCAACACAGACATACAGCCAGAGTATGCTAGTTCTGCTCCTTAGCATCATGGTTCATGAAAAAACTTTATCTGCGTGTATTACCTTGGATACAATTGTCTGGATTATTTTTTTTTTATCCCAGCTCTTGTCTTCTATAACAAAAAGCAAAGTTTACAACATTGCGGAATGCTGACCTGCTAAGTTTAGTTCTAAGAGAAGTCCACAATAAAGCATTGTGTATTACCTTGGCTAGGACAAAAAAGTACGCTCATCACAGAACACAATTGTCTGGATTTTTTTTTAAAATCCCAGCTCTTGTCTGCCTATAACAAAAAGCAAAGTTTACAACATTGCGGAATGCTGACCTGCTAAGTTTAGTTCTAAGAGAAGTCCACAATAAAGCATGTCTCTGGAGTACTGGAATGTTAAATTAATTTTAAATCCATGATGGATATATGAGGAGAGAGGAGTTTTCAGTGGGTTCCTTGTTTTCTTAGGGATGAATCACATGTTACAACAAGGCTGCATGGAGTGAACAGCCCCTTCCTCTTCTGCAGACGTCTGTGAGAAGGGGCCATAGTTTCTGGCAAAAGAGAGTGAGGGATTGCTTAATCCCCTTCCTGATTATTTGTCATCCTCTCGTTAGGTCTAAAGCAATTTGTATACGGACTTCAAAACTGTCTTGCCTGCTGAACATACAGGCAAACCAGAATACACCTGCATGTGGAAATCCACACATTTCTGAATTTTATAATCTAGTCTGCAATTGATACAGTCCCCATAAACATGTGCATAATAAGGGAAAGGAAGCAAAAATGCATTATTCTTGGAGAAGTGCTTGGGAAAAATGACACTCACTTGGAATAGTCTTCATAAAATGCATCTGTTAGAGAAAATGCACACTAAAATGTATACACATTTCTGGGTGCCCTTTCTGGGTCTGAATTTTGCTGCATTTGTAACCTGATGCCAACACAGACCGGAATGAATGGGCAGTCAGAGAAATCCAGCAGGAATGAAATGAATAGATTTGCCCATCTCTGCTCACTGCTGCCACCTTCAAGGAGGATTCCAGACCTTCATGAAGCAAACATGGCTCTTTTGACACCAGTGGGAGGAAAATAAATGTTGCCATGCCCCATGCTCCATAATTGTGAAAACCTTATCCCCTGCTGGAAGTCTCACTGGTTTAGGTTTCTGGCTATGGCAGTTTGATTTCACCACTGTGCTTCCTGCAAGTGGTGTTGGAATTAGTTAACAAATCAATATGCAAGTTAGTGCAGGATCACCTGAGAGGAAGCGTTGCTTAGTAACATGCTGGGTAGTTAGGCTGACTACCCTCCTTGACCAATTGAGTTGCTTAGTAACATGCTGGGTAGTTAATTAATTGGTCAAGGAGGGTAGTCAGCCTAACACCCTTTCTTGGTGGGTAAGGTAACTTCTCATCTGCCTTTCAGTTGCTTCACTGCCTTTGTTTTGGTATTTAAAAAAGGGTTTGGGACAAGATAGAAGGAAGATGCTTGTGGGGCACTGGTTAAACCACTGTACTGCAGCCAAAACTGTGCTCACAACCCAGGGTGCAATCCCAGGTAGCCGGCTCAAGGTTGACTCAGCCTTCTAGCCTTCCAAGGTTAATAAAAGGAGTACTCAGATCGCTTGGGGGCAGGGGGCAGTATATAGGCAGCACACTTTGCTTTTTTGCTTTGCTCTGCTGAGCCCCTTCCTTATGTCCAACATGGCTTTTTCTCTCAGCCCTGCAGTCTGAGAGAATCCATTTTTGTCTTTTACCATTTTAACTTTTTAAATTCGTTCTTCTTACTCTCCTCTGAGAGAGAGTGGTTACTACTGTGTATTTTACTGCCACTTGAATCAAGCTTGTACTTGCAACTTGCAAGTCTGCAATGAGTACAGATCTATTTTCTTTTTACCTTTAAAGCAGTGTCTGAATAATTGCTTAAGTTGGTTAAAGGCTGTGGTATGTGTGTACATTTTTATTTGGGACTTGTTAATCAATCTTAACTCTAAATGTTGCTAGCCTTTCCATTATGCAATTGGAAAAGGAATTAAAGATACTCCTCTTTGCTGGCATGACAAAGTCCATGAGCCCACAATTCTAAAAAGTAAAGCCAGCCTGTGGGCAAGCTGCAGAGTCCCAGGACACCCCCAGAAGAAGGGAATGATAAGCCACTTCTGAATATTCTCTACCAGGAAACCCCTAAAAAGCTTGCCATCAGTCAGAATTGACTCGACAGCACATGATTATTATTAGATGACATCCATTTTATTGTGCAACTTAAACACCACTCAGTTCACCCACCAAGATAGCTTTTGGCCCTTGAGCCCCTAACTTAAGAAATGAGTGGCCCCTGAGGAAAAAAAACTGCTAGCCATTCTTAGATGACAGCATAGCAGCATTTCAAGCTGTTTGATGTGCTTGAAGATGCCATTCATCAGATGTGAAGCCAAGCTACGTCTTCTTTTTGCTGATTTCATTTGCATAATAACTATTTTTAAAAGAAAAATAACATTTTACAACATTAAGGATTGCAACACTCTGTAGCAAAATGCACAGTATTGCAGAGATTTATGCATTGCTTCTAAATTCAAAGGATGCAAACATACAAATTCAAATGTGAATTCTGTATTTTGGAACTTATAATTTGAGTATCTAGCAATTAGGTCTGGTTAAAAAAACCTGGAAAGTTGGTCAGGCTGCAGAAAAAACTGTCCCATCCAGAGGTGGTGAATTGGTCCCCCTCTAGGTATGGTTTGACTACAACTCCCAACCTTTATCCTTATAGGCCAAGGAGGCTAAGGCTGATGGGCACTGCAGCCCGACATCTAGAATGTCACAAGTTTGATGACCCTGTTCTAATCAAGTGATACAAGACAACAGTTCTATTTAAAAGACATTAAAGGGGCTGGAATAGCATCTAAGTAGATTCTGCAGTAGCCTCCCATGATATCAACATTTTGATGTTGACCATAGAGAAGAGAATCCCCTCCATCAGCATCTATTCAAACCACGCCAGAGTGTACGTGAATTATCCCCTCTCTATGCATCATTTGATTTCAGTAGAAAGACAACTAACGGTCATTATCACCATCTATAAGCTTCGGTCACAACTTGTTCTTATATCCTCAAAGCTACCAAGACTATCATATAATTGTGGATAATAATCTCATTTCGGAATGGAAGGAGGAATGCAGGTGATATTCACACAAGGGTGGTGGGATGCATTCAAAAGTGCTGTCTTAGTCTCACAGATGCAGGGGAGAAAAAGGAAGCATTTCATAATAACAAAGAGAAGAAAAGCAGCCTTGAAAGAGAATGGGATGAGGAAGGACAACTCTGGACACAAGGAAGGCTGGCTTGGAAAGGCAGTGCTTGATTCATCCACATGCTGGCAGCCTTGAGGAAGCACCATGGGACAATCAATTATTGTTCATGATCCACCAAGAAGCTGAGGAATCAAGCGCAAGAAATTCAGAAACTTAGACAGGAAAAACTAGGTTATAGTGCATTTTAAGACATGGTTCCAGTTAAGCCATGACAACACTGGGCCCATAAAGTGCCTGTAATACAGTAGTAAGATGTAACTAGAGTATGCCCACAGAATCAGTGTAGATTTGGTGAGTCAACTCATCTATAAGTTTCTTTCAATCTACTTGTGACTTGCTACTGTACTTCAGTGCATGAGCCCTGTGGTCACACAATCCATTCACCCATCTCTTTGTGTGCATTGTATTCAAATTTCTGCTGTGATTAATTTGGCCAGTTTCCTATTACAACCAAACCAGAAAACCGCAGTTTGATAAATGAAAAGAGAAAGGAAGGAGATTTGACAAAACTCTCCTTGCTAATCCAACAATTGTTACTTCTCTACAGGGCACCATCTTGAACACAATTGCTCAGATTTTTCCTACCGAAGTTAGTCTTTGCAGAAACTGCATGGAAATAATAATCAGCGACCTAAGTCTTCCTGCCTGAAATAATTTTGTGATCTTGGGTATGGTAACCAGGTGTGTCCCTGTGTGCATGCGTATGATCCTCCCCCTCTTCCACGTGGGGCTCCTCCTCCTCTGCACACGCATGGCGATCATTTTCAGCCCCTTTAGTTCTGGTAGCGATGGAACCCCATGCTAGGGGGCGGAGTTGTGCACGTGTTAGGAAGTGAAGTCATGCACAAGGGGCGGAGCCACACCCAGCAGGGCTGAAAATTAGAAGGAATGTTGATGGCAACCATGTATTTTTATTTTAGCCAAGTGATCGAAATAGCCTGCCATTTTTTCCAGTTCAAATTCAAGTCAGCTGCCACGAGTCTCCTACAGCTGATGTGTTTGTTTATTCATAGTATTTAAATACAGTTTGACATAATAAAATACACATTCCATCTTTGTATTTTAGTGAGCTTGCTGTACTGCCTGACTATGACCTACTGTTTTACATTTGCAGTCTTTAAATATCTTATATTCTTCCAGGAGTAATAACATTGTACCTCTCTCATACATGCTGCCTTGTTTGTCTGCATTACTTTATACACTTTATCTGATCTGCTGTTCTCACCTGCCTTATTAGTTTTTGTTTCATATAGATAGCAATTTTTTACAGATTAGGTAATAACCCTTACTGAATCCATTCAAATCCAAATGTGCAACAGGATCACTCTGTTCTGAAATTCCCAATAAAGTTAAGATCACATCATTTACACAATGATGTTTTGTGTGCTTCAAATGATGGTTTTTAAGCAGTTAAAGTAGGGTGGTCCCATGACCAACTGGATAGGGTTACTGAGCCTTTAATTAGCTGTGGAACAAAGAGTTTCAGCAGGTGCAACTTGCCATGTGACTGACACTTGTTAAAATTCTTTCTTCCAGATAACTATTAAAGTTACAAGATGCTTTAATGTCTTTTTGTTCATATTGTCATCATAAATAAATACAGAAATTCTGTAGTAAACATTGCCGTACCTGGCAACAACATGGTGGTCAAAAGGTCTGGAGAGTCGAGTATGTCAGTGATGGCCTGCTGGAATTTCTTGCTATAATTTGATTGCAGGTGGCTGTGAAACAATGAGAAGAGTTGGAACAGAATAGATGCGTACCTTGGTCTTCTTCTTTGTCTAAGAGCAATAGAAAGCAGGCCCTGCTGAACCTCACCTTATGTGGTGGACTTCCCAGACACATTCCACAAACTCTTTGAATATGCTGGGGACTAGACATTAAACCTCTTTGAAGAGATGACCTGTAAATAATATCATCTTTCTCCACTCCTTTGTTATACCTTACAAATCTTTAAAATCTATAATTTGTCATAACTTTATTAAACTTCCTTCCATCAGTTATGAAATACTTTATGGTTGTCCCCTAAAAAACTGTATGAGGACAAACTGCTGGATGGCAGAAGAATTAGAAGGTTCATTCCATCCCAAAACATGAGTTCTAACAACTATCTAAGAACTTGGGGGCACTGTGAAAAACTGGCCCATATATATATTGAACTCCTCTCAGCCTGTGTCAAGATAGCCAAGTGGACCTATGTGGAGGGCTTACTTTTCCAGCATCAAGTTGGGTGTTGAAAGACGTGATCTACCTCTGTGGCATTGCTCTTACTTTTCATGCCCAAAGATACCGTGTTCATTCTCAGGCATCTTTGGGCAAGGCAAGGCACAAATCCAATCTGGAACCCTGTAGAAGTTCTCTTAGTGAGTGTCAACAGCACTGGCCTTGATTAATCAGCAGTCTGACTCAGTACAAGGTAGCCTCTGTGTTCCTAAAACATCATTTTACCACCATTTCACAGTGACTACTGGAAGCTGCATCTCTCGCACAGCTGCAAACGTGTACAAGCATGCTGAAAGGCAATATAAGCAATATATAATCTTTCACAATTATCCCATGCCTACATGATAGATTGTTCACGGACACAATCTATCTCAAAGCAACAACAACAACAAAACAGCATGCCTAAATGTTTCATGGGAAGCTGCCTTCAGAATTCTCCCTACCGACAGTGAGTGTCTTAACTGTACAAAAAAATATTCCCAACTGATATCCAGGGAAAGTTTACAATGAACTTAAACATATCAATAATTGCATCTTCTGTGACAATGGCTTTTCTTTTTAAAATGCCAGTGCAAATTGTAGCTTAAAAGGAGTAATGCTTATCAGCTGCAACAAGGAAGAGAAGACTTAAGGCTCTCGCTCCCTGCTGGCAGTAACATTCATAATTTCACTTCTCTCCAAGCTGTTACTTGTATTTTAAACAACAGCTACAACAGGTATGCATTTTAATTACAAGGGTGCATTTAACTTTAGCATTGATTCTCAGAGCCTAATGATTTTATTCATCAGGATTTTGATGCACAGGGCCTAAGGCTAGCATACCCTCCTTGAACTATCAAGACTACTTACATGGTGGGCATGTAAGTCCTTTATGATGTCTAAAGGCAACCTTGTTTTTACCAGCGAGGTCCAAGAGCACCAAAAGCATTACACAGAGGCAGATGGATCAATTCAATGACTTGGAATAAGGCAGCTTCCATGTTCACATATAGATGTGATTCACCAAATGACCTCTGCTCCACAAATAGGAAAGAGTAACTAACCTTCTCCATGAAGATACATCTTGCCAAAATTCATAGAGGATGATGCAGGCATCACTCACCAATTTGTGGGCAGAGATGCTACAGGAAAAGAAGGGAGACCATAAGGAAAAATGTTTTTATCACAACATGTCAGGCTATGTGTGCTGCATATCAAAAAGGACTTTAGTGCTGTCATCCAGGCTGGCTCTTCTGGTGCCGTGATGACTTATCTTCGGTGACTCATGGATGGGTTTTTGTTGTTGTTCTCGCAGAAAAGATAATTGTCTCCATGCCGATGTTAAAGAACTGCCAATGCTTTTAAAAGGAGAATTTGCTGTGTTGTGATGGCCACATTAATTACACAGCCCGCATATGGGAGAAAAACAGACACCAACGCCTTTGTCTCCTGCTTGAAACTTCTGCATCACTACATTGACTCACAGGAGTATTCTTCACCGACAGCAGGGGTGAACAGCATGTAGTCCATGGGCCCTGCATGTAGCCCCCCCAGCACCCAGTATCCCCCATACTCTCCCATGGTCAGAATGTCCCCGCATCCACTCTAACAGATGTGAGAGCATTTTTCCATGTTTTGATTTCTCAGAATATTATGAAACATTTTCACATTTTGAGCACTTCCCATTTTAATATATATAAAACAGGGGCGGTACAAAGGTTTGCAGGCACAAGTGCAGGTGAAGCCTTCCTAGGTCCAGGGATGAACATGAGCAACCCTCAGTGTTTGTCCACCCCAATTTACTGGATCCAATTTTAGACTGAAACCTTCTTCAGAAGACCCATTTGTACAACTGCTTACAGCGCAGAACTAGATTACCTTGTTTGACATAAGCTTGCTATCAAAAATTGGTAGCCCTTTGTCACTTTCTCTCCATCGCCTATTCCAGATGATGTTGAATTCCAATTTCCATCAACAATAACCCATTTAATTAGCGATGACGGGTCATGGGAGCTGCAATCAGCAAGCGCATTGCCACCTATTCCCTATTCCTATGCTAGGGTTGAGGTAGCCATGTTGCTTCACACCCAAAGATTTGGCGTGTCAGTAAGGACTGGGAAACACAACAATATCAAGACATAGGAACTTGCATCTAAATAGGTTGCCATTAGATATTCCTACATATTATGGGAAGTGTGGTGGGAAAGAGAGATGGGCTTACTGCCCAGCTGCTGTTTTGCCTGGCAACTCCACATTAGACACAACATGTGATTTTGCTCATCAAGAATAGCGTAATTTTCAAGAAGGCATATTGATTCTTGGCTGCTATGAAAGGCAATTTAATGCAAAACAAGACTGAACCTTACAACTGGTATAGTATATTTCATGTCTTACATAATAATGACTAGTGAGTCTCGTTTTCCATTTTGATATACCTTAGTCATTTTCCAGCAAACAATAAAGGTATGCCTATACTCTAGTAATGACAATTGATTAATTTTCATGTCTACCCAAAATGTATTCATAGTGCATAGGTTCATTCATTAACATACCAAACTGAAATTTTCTTTTGACATTATTCTTTTTAAAAAGGGAAGGGGGGAGTATGTTACTTTCATTAGAAGCAAAATTCAGATTGTTTTGATTTGTTCGCAATTATCCATTGTACTTTTCAACAGCAAATATCATGAGGGAACGTAGAAGTCAGAGACAATAGTGCAGACTTACACCCACATACGTGCATAATTATAAACAGCGATTTTATTTTCAATGCCTCTGTTCCTTTTGTCATCTCTACAAAAAAAAAGGAGCAATGCTACCTCTCTGTAATAAATCTGCTTCTAGAAGCACAGTGTTCGTCTGTTTTATGGGACTGTCAGATGGACAGCTTAGTTCATGGATCTCTATCAAGCATTATTGTATATATTCTATGTTCTATAAATAACGCCCACCTCTTTGTTGTTGCAGGAATGTTAAGACTCACAGGTCAACAAAAATCACAAGCTCTGTTTTCAAACGTTTTTCTCATCCCAGCAACATCTCAAAGTCAAACTCTGGAAGACTTACTGTAGGCAGCTGCTCTGTCCAGCTGTGATTTCTGTGTAGGACTGGAGAGCTTGGTGAAATGCCTCCAATCCACTTTCTGCCACTGCAATCTGTCTTTGTGCCACCAAAATGTGCTGCAGGAAGGGAAAGAGATGACAAGGGACGTATGTAATCAAGTTCGAGCATTTTGCACTCTAGGTCACTAATTGCCCCTGCCTTTCAAATTGTTGTCAATGTCTTTTTTTTGTGTCATCATCTGTATACCAGTACCATAATATTATGCCACTGTTATTTTTTTTAGCTTTATCTGTTTGTGTGTTTTTTAAATATGCTGCAAGGCATCCTAAATTCCAGTCTTGGAAGAATACATGAAAAAAAAACACTTAAACAAACAAACAAATAAATAAACATCAACGGATTGTGCTCTTTTAAAACACACCCCAGCAGGTGCTGCTGCTTCCATTTATTTTGGTTTGGTAACCTTGTGTAAGCCAGAGGCAAGCATGCAAATACACAGCTCACCACCTTAAGGCAATTGAGTATTTCCTCCTCTTACAATGTTATCCCTCCAGGCATGCAAATCTTTCAGTGTGTTATCAGTCATGCAAATGAAATTATGCTAATTCCCAACTGATTAATCACAAAACAGAAACAGGCTGATTTGCCCAATGCAGATTAAGGCAAGTTTGTGATTGAATCAAGGGCAATGTAGTCTGTGTTATTCATAATGCGGCTTGATTAAATGTCAAATGAGCGATCATAGGAAAAGAAAGGGAGTCAAGGGAAACAAACATTCCCACTGGCACTAAAGGCCATTAAATCTTGCAACAAGGACAGCATACTAGGCTCATGGCATCTGTTGCTGCTTTCATCCCAACAGAAAAACTGTCTGAAGAGGAAGATGCTGTTCCTTCTGTGTATACTCTCCACAAGAACCAAAATACAGCATTTTTCATGTTCTGGCTAACATAGAAAGCATACAAAGGTAGAAACACTTCCTCTTTTCAGACTGTTACTTTTCCATAATGAAAGCACACACACACACAAAAAAGAAAGCAGTCACATTCTAACTGTCCCCATATATTTTCATAATGATGGAATAGGACATAAGTAATCAAAATTTGCTGGAGGCATGAATGTAAGGAGATCTGGATCCAACCAAAGCCCTATCTTGTCTAGTATACAGTTCATACAGTTGTCAGCCAGGTGCCTAAGGGAATCTGACAGTTGCTTGAATGTGGTAGCAATCTCAACTCTGTTGAGGAACAAATGTCTTTGATCCCAGAGGTAATTGCATAGGGATCCTTGACAGCCATTATTCTAGAAACACAAGAACACATCACTATTCCCTTGGTCTTTAGATGGTGCTTTGCAGAATAATGTTGGTAAAGATCAGGTCAAGAAGTTTAGAGACTACATTCATATGGAGAGTGTAGACAAATCTACTGCTTACTTGTTCATTATCCTTTCCCCTTTCCTCCCTTTTGTTATAGTTATGTCTATTCTCAATTTTCAGTCTATTCTGCTACCTCCTTCTCATTTTTATTCCTACAATAGCCATATGATGTAGGTGAGAGTAAGGAAAAGTAGCTTGCCCAAGGATGCCTAGTAGTGACTAGTACCTAGATCTTCTAAGACCAAGTGTGATCCTAAGGAGTTACTATGCTAGGTACAAAAACTGCTGGTGGTTCAGATTGAAGGCCTGTGTAGTCTGGTATCATCTTTCTCCCAGTAGCCAATTAGATGCCTTGGGAAAAGCTACAAGCCAGCAGTCATTCTCTCCCAATTTACCAATAGAAGTAGCCTATTATCCCTGCCCCCTTCATGGATTGCTGCCTTGTCGTGGTGAAGGGGCTTGAGTAATTCAGAGAAGCTGTGGGCTATGCCGTGCAGGGGCACCCAAGACGGACAGATTATGGTGGAGAGTTCTAACTAAACGCGATCCACCTGGAGCAAGAACTGGCAAGCCACTCCGGTATCATTGCTAAGAAAACCCCATGAACAGAAACAAAAGGCTGAAAGATATGACGCTGGAAGATGAGCCTCTCAGATCGGAAAGTGTTCAACATGCCACTGAGGAAGAGCGGATGACAAGTACGATACAATACGATAAACCTTTATTGGCATTAGGCAGTAACTCAGGGGAAACAGACAAAATCAACATTAATGAGGAAGTACAAAATCATGAGAAATAATATATATGCTCCAGAGAATGGGGTAAGGAGAATTCAACATTATAAGGCAACAATAAGTCTCAAAATTTCAGTTAAGTAGTTTGCCACCGCCTCAGTGAGGGGAGCACAACGATCACTCAAGAAGATAGGGAGAAGATCAGGGAAGTGATCTGAAAAAGGAATCAGCCAGTGATCTAAAAAGAGTTTGCTATGGAAGTGGTGTGCTGAGCATCTAAATAGAATATGGTCTAAAGTGTCGGGCAGGAAATGACAGAAAAGGCAAAGTCATTTGTCTTTAGGGATTTTGGAAAAGCGGCCAAAATGCAGGGCCGATGGGAAGATGTTAAACTGAGCTAGCATGAAAGCTCTCTGCCGCATAGGATTAGTCAATAGATTGAAATAGTTTAAAGGATATTCTAAAACAGGGGATAAGCTGAAAAAGTTTGGAGAACATGTGCGATTAAGGAGGTCACTTAGATGCTCAAACTCCCACTGATATAACTTGGCTTTGATATTAAAGTGAGCGAGAGATAATTCCAAATCAAAGTGATTTTAGTGGGATATCAATGGATGACAGTTTAGAATAGATAAGTTGTATCCATTTGGGGGAGTAAGAATCTCTTAACAGAGCATAAAGTAACGAATACGGGAGCCTGGTTAAAAATGAACAAAGCCAATATTTAAAGGTGAGACACCAAGGCACAGTTGAGGGGCGATGGATCCCTAATTCAAGTAGGATAGAGGCAAGTTGAATGGAATTTGGAAGGCCAAGTACAAGTAGATCCAGAGCTAATGAAGTGGTTGGGTCAAAGTCGAAGTGATGCTCAGCTGCGGACACGCCTGGAAGTGAAAGGAAAGTCCAATCCTGGAATGTAAGATCTATGAACCTTGGTAAACTGGATGTGGTCAAAAAAGAGATGACAAGAATAAACATTGACATACTGGGCGTCAGTGAACTAAAATGGATGGGAACTGGCAAATTCAATTCACATGATTATCATATCTACTATTGTGGGCAACAACCCGTAAAAGAAATGGAGTAGCCCTCATCGTCAACAAAAAAGTGGGAAAAACTGTACTGGGATACAATCTCAAAAATGACAGAATTATTTCAATAACAATCAAAGGTAGGCCTTTCAACATCACAGTAATCCAAGTTTATGCACCAACCACCAATGCTGCAGAGGCTGAAAGTGACCAGTTTTATGAAGACTTACAACACGTTCTAGAACTGACACCAAAGAAAGATGTTCTTCTCAATCTAGGGGATTGGAATGCTAAAGTAGGGAGTCAAGAGATAAAAGGAACAACAGGAAAGTTTGGCCTTGGAGTTCAAAACGAAGCAGGGCAAAGGCTAATAGTTTTGTCAAGAGAACAAGCTGGTCATCACAAACAATCTTTTCCAACAACACAAGAGGTGACTCTACACATGGACATCACCAGATGGGCAATACTGAAATCAGATTGATTATGTTCTCAGCAATCAAAAATGGAGAAGCTCTATACAGTTGTCACGTTCCCAGGGGTTACAACAGCAGAGTCCAATAAGCCAGTCCAAAGTCAGGAATTCAGGGAATGCAGAGCCGATATCCAAATACCAAAGCCAATTTACATAACGTAGTCCAGGGTCAGAGTCCAAAGCCAAGAGTCCAGAGACCACAGTTCAAGGTTGTCAGGCACATGGATACAAGCCAGAGGTTTAACTTGTTGCTTCCACAGATTTTCAGCCATCTGAGTGCTGTTTAAATAGTAAAACAGCCCCTTGAACTGCTGGAAGCCTTTTCATCCTGTCAGTACTCAGGGCTAGTTGATTTGATGTTTCTGTGAGCAGCCTTCAAGCCATCCTCTGACCTTTTGGTCAGAAGTCTTCCCCGAAGCCTGGTCCGAAGCGTGTCTACTGGGGGAAGAGAATCTGAAGGCGATTCAGGTGTTTGTATTTCTAATTGCTCACCACTCTCTTCAGCCAGTTAACCCTTCAGGTTCCAGATCTTCGGCTGCACTCATGACAACAGTCCAGCAAAACTGGAGCTGATTGTGGCTCTGATTATCGTTTTCTTATAGCAAAACTCAAGCTTAAACTGAAGAAAGTAGGAAACAATCTGAATGCCCCGAATAAACCCAGATAGGGTGGTCGCTGACCTTGAGCCAGACATCCTGGAGAGTGAAGTAAAGTGGGCCTTAGAAAGCATGGCTAACAACAAGGCCAGTGGAGGTGATGGCATTCCAGTTGAACTATTTAAAATCTTAAAAGATGACACAGTTAAGGTGCTACACTCAATTTGCCAGCGAGTTTGGAAAACTCAGCAGTGGCCAGAGGATTGGAAAAGATCAGTCTACATCCCAATCCAAAAGAAGAGCAGTGCCAAAGAATGCTCCAACTACTGTACAATTGCACTCATTTCACACGCTACCAAGGTTATGCTCAAAATCCTCCAAGGTAAGCTTCAGCAGTATGTGGACCGAGAACTCACAAGCTGTATTTCCAGTACAAGCTGGATTTCAAAGGGGCAGAGGAACTAGAGACCAAATTGCTAACATGTGCTGGATTATGGAAAAAGCCAGAGTGCTCCAGAAAAACATCTACTTCTGCTCATTGACTATGCAAAACCTTTGACTGTGTGGACCACAGCAAACTATGGCAAATCCTTAAAGCAATGGGAGTGCCTGGCCACCTTATCTACCTCCTGAGAAACCTATACGTGGGACAGGAAGCAACAGTTAGAACTGGATATGGAACAACTTAGTGGTTCAAAATTGGAAAAGGAGTACGACAAGGCTGTATATTGCCCCACTGCTTATTTAACTTATATGCAGAATACTTGTATTTAACATATGTCCATAATTTTAAATTGTGCAATGCTTTTATAGAAATACATAGATAAATAAAGATCTGATTATCAATTCCTTTTCTTTTGCAACCACCACTAAGTTTGGCACCGCACTGTTATTATCACATACCATAAGAGACTTTGCTCATTTTAGGTATGCCCCTTGCCGATAAACAGAAGTAGTAATCAACAACTTACAGAATCTCTTTCTTTGCAGACCCCATCGTCTTTCAGAGGTTCCAGCCTTGGACTCTGAGTGGACAGAAGTGCAGAATTATTACAAAAGGAAGCAATGCAATGTAAGTCAATGAAATAACTGATATCATGATCTTCTTCTTCATCAGACATTCACCGTTGCTAGAATGTCATGTATGTGTTGTAGAAACACTTCAAGGTTTGGCTAAGAGACATCTATACATATACCAAGTGGCCGACTCAGGAGAATAAAACAAGAGAGTGGAATGGCAAAAGGAGAGTGAAGACAGAGAGAAAGAGTGAAGACAGACAGAGGTCAAAGAAAACATAATAATCACGTGCCATTAAGACAATTCTGAATTATGGTTGTTACATAACAGCACTGATGTTACCTGTCTGTCATGGGTTTGGAGGGAAAGTTCCATCCTATGGGGAGTGGAAGGCGGGACATCAGGAGGAGGGGCTGTACTGTATAAATATGTGATGCCTGTGTGGTGAAGAGGAGATGCTGAGACAAACTGTGAGACACTGGGTTGGGACGAAGCAGCAGCTGGGGAAGAAGAAGCTGTTGTGGGAGTCTGGGTGTCTGACAGGGTACTACTGTGTGTCAGAGTACCAACCTGATAAGTTCAGGTGTCTGTGGGTTAGCCAGAACTGATGGGTTCAGGGTCTGTGCTTTAAGTTAAAGGTTCTAGGTGAACCAAACTGTATGCTTGTGTGTGTGAGAATAAGCCACGTTACTTTATTTTATTCACCTGATTGCTTATTTTTCCCTGTGTGTATTTAAAATAAACTTTATTCTTTTTGTTGTTTAAAAATCCATCCCTGGTCTGTGTGACTTATTATAGGGAATGGTTGGTGGCAGCTTAGTAACTGTGTGATAGATCCCAGTAGGTCTGGGTTTGTCACAGGTGACCCTTTTTCATGGTTTTCTGGAATATTCAGAAGTGGTTTACCATTCTCTTCTTCTGGGGTGCCCTGAGAGTCTGCAGCTTGCCCAATGCCATATAGGCTGGCTCTACTCGCAGGAAACCCAATGGGGAATCGAACTCCTAGCCTCTACCTGAACCACTGAGCTAGTTAAGAAGGGATGGGCTCATCCACTTTTTCCTCTAGCTCTCCCTACCACCAGCATATGGCCCTCAACTGATTAGCTTTGAGATAACCTAATTTTATTTATTTGCAAGAATGTCCGCCTTAATTTAAGCTGGAAGAGTGATTCATCTCACTCTCACCTTTGCATAGATAGACCACCATTTCTACACTAATGTTGAAACGGAGCTGCAGGAACCAAGGCTGGCTCTTCCATCAAAGCAGAATGAGGGACCTGCCTCTGGTCACAGGCTCTGAATGCCATGAAAGAATAGCAAGTTGTTATTTACCTTGTTGTTACTGGATTGATGTTGCAAGGAAATAGCTAAGTGGGTGGGAGGTCATGGAAGTTTCTGACTCATATGCCAAAACAATTTAGGGCTGTCCTTGAGGAATGTGCATCTTGGCTCAAGGTTGGGGAGGTGGTCTTTGTTGCTCTGACTCAGGCAGCAAAAAATCTTTGGGCAAGCACTGGCAAGGGACCATAAGCAACGGTGTATCATGAGGTTATTACCATCTCTTCATTTGGAGAGTTTTCTGGAAGAAGGACAGAACTTTATTTTGGATTTAATTTTTTTATCCCTGACTTTGCTTTGGAAGGTACAGTGCTGTAAAACTGAACAAACAATTAAGTGGACTTTGTATTTACATAGCTCTTGCATGCATCAGAGGCACATTACAAATCCTACAAGACATCTATATACGTTTCAGACCTGTCTGATTCATTTTTCTTGTTTTAAGTCAACCATAAAGAATAGTTTCCCAGTTGCTTCTTTTTCATCTTAGCTTCAGTTTTAACTTCCTTCTCATTTTAGTCACATTCCACACATTTTCCTAATTGAGACCTGTTACTATTAAAGGTTTAGAAACTGTTTTAAAAGCAAGTATATATGAATTAAAGGGGGGGAAAAAACATAAAGCCCACTTCCCTCTACAAGTCCTCTCCCTGCAAGTCAACAACCCTTTTAAAGAATATTGGGTTTTCTGATGTTGAGTTCTCTTGAGAGGCTGGAAGTGAGATGCTTGTGTGATCATAATCATATGATTTTACACTCGAAGTCTCCTGAATTGAAATATGGAAAACCTGGACATATTAAGAAATAATCATGACTGGGGAAAATGGGGATGATGTTAAAGTAGGCTGAATTTTATCCCAAAAGCAAGTATCCCAACAGTAACCAGACCTTTGAATTTCCCATCTAAAGGGCACCATTTTCATTTGCTGGCCCACCTTACATTCCAGTTTGTCAATGAGCTGCTGCACTTGGTCCTTCTGACAAGTCCACTGGCTGTCAGCATCCACACGAACCCCTAGATGCAAAGAGAGACGGGCAAAGCAGGAGTCACAGGAAGGCAGCTTACAAGAGCAGTTCAGTGGGCAGAGCTGGGTGTGGGTGGATTTTAATCCCATCAAAAATGAGACAGATGGCATGGCAAACTTTTCTCTTTTGCTTTACCACACATCAGACATTGGACACAAATTACTTTTGATCCTGCTTCAACTCCCAACCTCATTTTAACCTAATCACCAAGCAAGGGAATGCTTTATTCTTTCCACCACTACATAATGTTTTTCCTTGCAACTGCATAGATTTAATAAATAATTCGCTTCATGTTGTAAGATAGGCAGGGTCTTTATCTAGGAGTCAGCCATGGCTACATCTGATGTTCCATTATTATTTTACTGCAGGAGTGCTGCGTCTCAGCCTGTTGCTGACTTGTGAATCACAATGCTTTTTTCAAATTGTTCTCACAACAGCAGTGCCTGGAGCCTAACTAGACGTAACAACAGAAAATAGCTGCCACTTACCAATGGCTACTCCATGCATTTCCCCAGGAGAAGACTTGCACAGACAGGGTGGTATCATCCTGTATCTTTCCCCACTCTTTGAAAACAGCAGCCAGTGAAATGGAGTGAGGACATCATGAAATTGATTCTGTCATTTCCATATTTTACTCTAGGGCCCATCTTGTCTTTAAGGAGAGTGAGGCAGTTGCTTCAAGTTGCAGATTTTTCTCATTGTATGGTAATATATTTTATGTCTTTTCATGATGATAAAGATCTGCGAGATGAGGCAGCTGCCTCAATCTCGAAAGACAACCAGCTCTGCAATAAAGGGGAGAGGGAGAAGGAGAGAGAGCCACGATACCTCAGTTGATTTGATTATTATGGGCCATAACTTGGCTGGGCCTATCATTTACAGCTCCAATTCAGGTAGCAAAATGTCTTGAGCCAGCCAACATTATCGGGAAAATGTGAGTTGAAGGCAACCACATGTCCTCCTGTAATATCTGCCTGGGTTCTGACTTATAGGAATTCATTAGAAGGAAAAGCATTATACTTCTTGTAGGGAAGGCACTGAACTGGTTCACACATGGCTTACTCATTTCAGCACTACACAGTGACTTGCATGTGTAAGCCATCATACTTTAAGCCCCATCCATAGCATTTTCATATACGGTAGCTTTTAAAAGCAAAGGTTTTCAGAAACCAAATCTCAGTGAACCTTCACATGATGGTGTTATCAAGTGATAGAAGATCAGATGAGATACGTAGGGTTATGTGAACCACCTCATAGTTGACTGTGAGGAAGGAATGTGTACTTTAGCCCTGTTGAGTTGTTTCAAAGTATACGGTATCAACATACGAGGTAGGTGAGCATGCTAGCTCCACCTTCTTCATTACCACTTCCAGCATCATCTCGTGTGTGTAGTGGAACATGTCTGAAGCAGGGGTGGAAAAAATTATTTTGACAACAATTTCCAGGATAGCTCAGTCAGTATAGCTGTTGCTTAGATTTTCTGGGAGTTGTACTCCAAGCAATAAATAGTTAGAGAACATGTTGAAAAACAGCTACGACAATTGCTAGGTGCTTGGATAAGAAGTTAATAACTGTATTTTTTAAAGGAGTGAGTTTCTGGGATTTCCTCTTACTTGGTGTCTGTTTGTGAAGAGAAGCAAGCACAAGAGGAGACCCAGTGTAACTGCTGACACTGTTGTCTTCAACATGCAGGCTGGCCTTTGCTGTATAAAGCTTACATCCTTTCCCCCTCACTGTTAAGTGTGGGCACAACATTGCACAGCAATGTCAGGCCATTTTTGGTGTTTTGAACTGTAAATAGAGAGGCGCATTTATACAGCAGATTTTTTATTTTTTTTTGATGGAGTGAATGTGTTTTTATACACCTTCTATGTCACTTCATTTCCTATTCAGGAATGTCTATGCCTTGTGCTCACAAAATCTGTCCTCTGATTCTGGCAACAGATCAACCTTGTACCAGAGGTTGTAGTTATGTTTTGGATGATATACTTTTAAAAACTCTGGATACTTATATGAACACTAGTGGTGGATTTAGGAGTACCTGTGGTCAACATCCCTGAATAAGGATCTGTAGGAGACAAGCAGATATTCTTCTGAGCTCTACGACCACATCTTTTCAAAGCACGTGGGCCAACAAGAGGTTCTGGTTTCTTCATATCATTCCTAAAAGGTACAAAATCAATGTTATGCAGTTCCCAAGGTAACTGATGCTACGTTTATGAGATCTTGTGTGTGTGCAAGATCCATTATATACAATACAAAGCTAAAAAGAAGATGCACCAGAAACATAGTCATCATCTAACTGTGCGAGTGTTCATTTGTTTTTTAAAATGCATATGCACACGCACATACCCACATGAAAGACTTGGCAATAAATAATAAGATAGTGCTACCAAATGGTATCCTCTTCCGTAGGATTAGGTCTTCCATCATTGGAAAACCACTGAAAGCTGGATGTGGGAAAATCACTGCTGCTAAAACAATTTTATGGCACTTAGAGAGAGGCCACACTGATTTAAAAATGAGATTTGGGGCAGGCTGATTCATATTTTTCCCCTCTATCGACAGAATATGCAACGGGAAATGTAAATCAGCCTACAGTCCCCTATCCCCAACTCTAGTTTTCCCCCTCTTCTGCTGGGGCTTCCACTTTTTTAAAAAAGCAGATGCATTTGAATTGGTTCAGACATGTGATCGCCTTAACCAAGGCAGAAAAGAGAGGATTAACTGTTGGCTCATGTGTATGCGCATGCACATGTACACACACTTTCCCCCTTGTCTCTCTCTCTTTCTCTCTCTCTCTCTCTCTTTATACAGGTAAAAGATTCCCCACCCTTTTTAAAAAAAACAGGTAAGGACAAAACTAAAAGGACAAAACTAAAAGACATGGAAACCTTGATAACAGCTTGTAAGCAGTTCCCCTTTAATAGCACCAACTGTTGGACTATTGCAAACAAGGTGTAAACAAGGCGGCTTCTCTCTCCCTGTATGGCCAGTTAATGTGGACAGACCTGGTGAAGCCTGGAGTTCTTGGCGTGACTTAACAGCAAATGAATGCAAGTGGATTTGCACTTCCCTTGCTGTGTGGCTGCACCCTTAGTGGTATCATACTGCTATAATTGTGTACTGTAGATCCACTCATAATAGTCTAGTCACCATTAGGGCCAGCCCAACTGCTTGACAAAGTAAGACAACTAATGGAGACTCCCAATTCTGATTATCATGAAAGAGAAGGAAACTGTATTTTTAAAAAGAATTTATTTTTGTCACATTTTTACTATCAGGAAAGAAAGGCAATTTACAGATTTTCTGCCTCAGATGCCAGAATTACTTCATCCAGCTTTGGGTACTATGTGTCTTCACTTATCATTTTTGGCCTAATATATTTTATTATATGAAGCAGAATTCAAATGGTAATTGTGCTTCATGTAATAAAGTATATTAGGCCAAAAATGATACCATTATCTTTTACTTTTGTGGGCAGGTAAAGGCCCAGAGCAAAGGAAGGCCCAGATGTGACAGAGTTAATGTTTCTAGAATTAAGTAAGGACAAGAAAAGAGATGAATGGCCTGGCCTGAGATTGTACAATCTGGAGCAGATTGCCCAGAGAGTGTTTAAAGCTTTAGCTTTTAGTTTTGGCTGCTCCCATGTACCTCAGAGAGCTGCTGTACTTTTCCCGGCCAGCTTGCTCTTCTATGGTGTCTGCAGCACACTCCAGTGAGACCTGCAGGGACTGTAGTTGGTTCATTGTCTCACGCAGTAAAAAGCGGGTCACAAACTGTTCCATTTTGGAGGAGCTCTCATACACCTGAAGGGAATCAGACATGAGGAAAAGATACCATCTTGTACAGTACTATACTTCTATCCTCAAGTAATGTGTTATCTACTGAAGTACTTCAATGAACAAGCAACAAAAGGTCTGCATTATTGTATTTACAATAGCATGCCTTTGATTTCTGCAAAGCATTTCTCCTGACATCACTGAGAAAAATGTTAGGCACCCCCAAAAGCACTCTCAGGAGTTCTGATTTACCGTTCCAATGCTCCGAACTGGAAGTGAATCCACTCAATTTGCCTCTGTTGGCAAATTCACAGTAAATATTAGTTATTTGTTGTGAGGAATTCAGACCCTATTCGTTAAGGTGGTCCTTCAAATGCAGACATACAGTATCTTGTATTTGGAGGGTTAAGCATTAATGCCTGCATAAAAGCAGACCTTTCAGTTAGGACATGCTAAAGGGCATTTTTAAATGCCCTGAGATATTATGTTTGAAAGTATATACAGTATATCCTTTTTTGGACTACAGCTCCAGAACCTCTCAGCCAACATGGCTGAGCAGATTAATTACCGTATTTTTCACACCATAAGACACACCTTTTTATCACAAAACAGGGGGGTGGAAAGTCTGTGCGAAGTCTATGGAGTGAAGAAAACAGATTATATTTTCCTGTTTTCTTCTCCTAAAAATTGGTGCGTCTTATGGAAAGGTACGTCTTATGGAGCGAAAAATATGGTATTGATTAAAACAGACAGCAAATGGAGTAGAACCAATATGCTCAATAAGCCAAACCCGGCATAGTAACGAAAGGTATGTCACCCTTGCAGAAAGCCATCACCAAGTTGACAAGAAGAGCTTCCTTTAAGAAAAAGTTCCCAAGGTTGTACTCAAAATTGTACTGCTGAGATTAAACAATAGTAACTGAAACATCTATCACATCCTGAAGGTGGATATCACAGCCATTTTTATGCTTGGATGGGGGTGGTGAGTACAATGGGATTCTGTCAGAGTGCAAACACGGCCCACTTATTCCATGTCTAGCTAGAACTCATAGCTTTCAGTGGTCCTGATTCTGTGCCCTTTTCACTTTGGCCACAGTTTTTAATGCCTTGGACTCTTGACTCTTGGGCTCTGTTCTCTAAGCCCAAAGCAAATCTCTGCCCTTCTTTCCTTCCTTTTAACTATTGCTTCCACTATTAATACTATTGTCTCAGGATTATGAATTAGGTTACAAACGCAGTTTCAGTGTTTGCTTGCCTTAACTTTCAGTAATTGCACCTGAGTTGGGATTTATATTTATGACGTTGTATATGTAGGAAGGAACCTATTTTGCTGTATAAATACTGTACTGCATTTCATGGCCTTTATCTGCTTTCAAAAAATGGAATGTTCAGCGAAGGCAGCTAATATAAAAACTGCATCCAGAAAATGTTTTAACTTTTGTTTGTAGAACTCAAATACACACAAAACAAATAAGCAACCAGAAATATAGTTAAAATTATAATTATAAATCGAATAATATTTGAAGTGCACACCCATACTGAACAAGTACAAAACGTTCACACTGAGCCAGTGTACACCAACCCCATCAGGGGACGGGGTGGAGATTGGTGCCCGGGTTACAAATCTACCTCTCTCACACAAACAGGATACCTCGTTAACACAAAAATGTTGCTTTTCTCCAGAAATAGTCATTCCGAGGTTTATCTCTCTATCTGGACACCTGGAGAAGCATAGCAATTCCTTGAGACTACAGCCAGGGACTCACACTTTTCATTGTAACACATGGGTTTGGGTGATGATGATGATGCCAGTATTGAGGAATGAACAACATGATGAAACATGCTGTGTTTGGTTAGATGGGAAGCCCATTTGTTAAATGGTCCACGGAGACCCCAGTTGTTTTCAGACAATCAGTGAGAGAAAAGAATTTGAGAGCCATTCTTCTAAAGGATTCATTTTCAACTCTAGACTGGACAGTTTTGTCTTTTCTTTTTTCTTTTAATGGGCACAAAGGCTTAATTCTCATGGTGCTGTGTCTGGACTATTCTACTTTACACTGCAGGAAGGAACTCACATAACCGAATGCCAGACATAAAACATTTTCTCCATATAGAAAATGCATATACCTATAGATCCCACCTAGTAGGGTGTTTTTTGGAAGAACGCACAAGGACACCCCTCTCTCTCTCTCTCTCTCTCTCTCTCTCTCTCTCTCTCTCTCTCTCTTTATAAATATAAAAGATTCCCCACCCTTTTTAAAAAAACAGGTAAGGACAAAACTAAAAGGACAAAACTAAAAGACATGGAAACCTTGATAACAGCTTGTAAGCAGTTCCCCTTTAATAGCACCAACTGTTGGACTATTGCAAACAAGGTGTAAACAAGGCGGCTTCTCTCTCCCTGTATGGCCAGTTAATGTGGACAGACCTGGTGAAGCCTGGAGTTCTTGGCGTGACTTAACAGCAAATGAATGCAAGTGGATTTGCACTTCCCTTGCTGTGTGGCTGCACCCTTAGTGGTATCATACTGCTATAATTGTGTACTGTAGATCCACTCATAATAGTCTAGTCACCATTAGGGCCAGCCCAACTGCTTGACAAAGTAAGACAACTAATGGAGACTCCCAATTCTGATTATCATGAAAGAGAAGGAAACTGTATTTTTAAAAAGAATTTATTTTTGTCACATTTTTACTATCAGGAAAGAAAGGCAATTTACAGATTTTCTGCCTCAGATGCCAGAATTACTTCATCCAGCTTTGGGTACTATGTGTCTTCACTTATCATTTTTGGCCTAATATATTTTATTATATGAAGCAGAATTCAAATGGTAATTGTGCTTCATGTAATAAAGTATATTAGGCCAAAAATGATACCATTATCTTTTACTTTTGTGGGCAGGTAAAGGCCCAGAGCAAAGGAAGGCCCAGATGTGACAGAGTTAATGTTTCTAGAATTAAGTAAGGACAAGAAAAGAGATGAATGGCCTGGCCTGAGATTGTACAATCTGGAGCAGATTGCCCAGAGAGTGTTTAAAGCTTTAGCTTTTAGTTTTGGCTGCTCCCATGTACCTCAGAGAGCTGCTGTACTTTTCCCGGCCAGCTTGCTCTTCTATGGTGTCTGCAGCACACTCCAGTGAGACCTGCAGGGACTGTAGTTGGTTCATTGTCTCACGCAGTAAAAAGCGGGTCACAAACTGTTCCATTTTGGAGGAGCTCTCATACACCTGAAGGGAATCAGACATGAGGAAAAGATACCATCTTGTACAGTACTATACTTCTATCCTCAAGTAATGTGTTATCTACTGAAGTACTTCAATGAACAAGCAACAAAAGGTCTGCATTATTGTATTTACAATAGCATGCCTTTGATTTCTGCAAAGCATTTCTCCTGACATCACTGAGAAAAATGTTAGGCACCCCCAAAAGCACTCTCAGGAGTTCTGATTTACTGTTCCAATGCTCCGAACTGGAAGTGAATCCACTCAATTTGCCTCTGTTGGCAAATTCACAGTAAATATTAGTTATTTGTTGTGAGGAATTCAGACCCTATTCGTTAAGGTGGTCCTTCAAATGCAGACATACAGTATCTTGTATTTGGAGGGTTAAGCATTAATGCCTGCATAAAAGCAGACCTTTCAGTTAGGACATGCTAAAGGGCATTTTTAAATGCCCTGAGATATTATGTTTGAAAGTATATACAGTATATCCTTTTTTGGACTACAGCTCCAGAACCTCTCAGCCAACATGGCTGAGCAGATTAATTACCGTATTTTTCACACCATAAGACACACCTTTTCCCCACAAAACAGGGGGGTGGAAAGTCTGTGCGTCTTATGGAGCGAAGAAAAGAGATTATATTTTCCTGTTTTCTTCTCCTAAAAATTGGTGCGTCTTATGGAAAGGTGCGTCTTATGGAGCGAAAAATATGTATTGATTAAAACAGACAGCAAATGGAGTAGAACCAATATGCTCAATAAGCCAAACCCGGTATGGTAACGAAAGGTATGTCACCCTTGCAGAAAGCCATCACCAAGTTGACAAGAAGAGCTTCCTTTAAGAAAAAGTTCCCAAGGTTGTACTCAAAATTGTACTGCTGAGATTAAACAATAGTAACTGAAACATCTATCACATCCTGAAGGTGGATATCACAGCCATTTTTATGCTTGGATGGGGGTGGTGAGTACAATGGGATTCTGTCAGAGTGCAAACACGGCCCACTTATTCCATGTCTAGCTAGAACTCATAGCTTTCAGTGGTCCTGATTCTGTGCCCTTTTCACTTTGGCCACAGTTTTTAATGCCTTGGACTCTTGACTCTTGGGCTCTGTTCTCTAAGCCCAAAGCAAATCTCTGCCCTTCTTTCCTTCCTTTTAACTATTGCTTCCACTATTAATACTATTGTCTCAGGATTATGAATTAGGTTACAAACGCAGTTTCAGTGTTTGCTTGCCTTAACTTTCAGTAATTGCACCTGAGTTGGGATTTATATTTATGACGTTGTATATGTAGGAAGGAACCTATTTTGCTGTATAAATACTGTACTGCATTTCATGGCCTTTATCTGCTTTCAAAAAATGGAATGTTCAGCGAAGGCAGCTAATATAAAAACTGCATCCAGAAAATGTTTTAACTTTTGTTTGTAGAACTCAAATACACACAAAACAAATAAGCAACCAGAAATATAGTTAAAATTATAATTATAAATCGAATAATATTTGAAGTGCACACCCATACTGAACAAGTACAAAACGTTCACACTGAGCCAGTGTACACCAACCCCATCAGGGGACGGGGTGGAGATCGGCGCCCGGGTTACAAATCTACCTCTCTCACACAAACAGGATACCTCGTTAACACAAAAATGTTGCTTTTCTCCAGAAATAGTCATTCCGAGGTTTATCTCTCTATCTGGACACCTGGAGAAGCATAGCAATTCCTTGAGACTACAGCCAGCATCCTGAGACCTGTAAATCTATTCTCTAGTGCAATTAAGGGTGTGGTCAGATAGGGGTTTGTCCCATGGTTTGGTCTAGTTTGGGGGTGGGCCTATTTATTCATTTTTGTAGTGGCTCCATTATGAAATTGCAAATCAGTCTGTCCCTTCCTTATTCATGCCTATCCATACCTTTTTGGGTCCCTGTCAGGGGTGACTAGTTTTGCTTTTTTAAACTGCAGATAGGACCACACCATTTTAGTTTGGTGATCGCCAGAATTGAACAGGAAAGTGGCACTAGTAGGGGTTTTCCCCAACAAGTCACTGCTGTGTGACTTGGTGGCTAGGCAATGAAGTGATGTGGTACCAGTATTTTTTGAAAAAAAAATGATTTTTTTTTAAAATGTAAGAATAATTTGAGTTATTTTCCTGCTCCATCCCTGAGGGGGAGTGGGAATGACCAGAATGGGTGTAGCGACCGGAAAAAAAAATCTCTTTCTAATTCAGCATTATTTCATTCTGGCAGGATGCTGATAGAGTTATATGTTCTTTACCAATAATAATAACAATAATAATCAGTTTTCCCTGCTTCCCACCAAGGAGGAGACAGAAGAGGAAGCAGAGGGGAATTCTCCTACCTTCTTTTTCCTCACAACCTACTTGCTTTGGTCACAAGCTGATGCAGTGATATGTCACTCACCAATAAACAAAGAAAAAATAAACATTAAAAAAATTAAGATCCAGCTCTCCCCACTCCCCGGGGAAGAGAAATGGGACGAAAACTCTTTTGTTCTTCTTTTTCTTCACAATACAGTACTGTTTCGTTTTGGTGGCAAGCCAATGCAGTGCTACGTCATTTACCAATAATTTTTTTTAAAAAAATTCAGCTTCCCCACACAGAAAGAAACACAGCAAAGGACGGAGGGGTATGGAGGAACAGAGTGAGGAACAAGTTAAATGAGGTTGCTTTAAAGTGTGATGTAGCTTCCTAGACCAAAACCACCTGATTCTTGCATGCGGATGAAAGGATCATTCAAAATCTCAGACTGCATCTTTAAGCATTCTTGTTCAGCCTCTTCCAGCCCAGATAACCTTACTATCTAGTTGCACCCTAAGTTTCAGAGTTTTAAAAGTCACTGAGCTTTATTTGGCAATGAAAATGAATAACTCGCAAGTAACTCATCCGTGACCACAGAGCTACTTTAAACTGTAAGCAAAAAGCCTTTTCTTTTGCACAAAGGGATATTCTTTACTAGCCATGAAATCAGGGCTCAGGCAATAATGTTATATGCTTCTGCCACTGCTCTTCTGCATAATGAATCAATGAAAGAAATGATCTCTACAGAACAACTGCTTCATTTTCATCTATTGAGATAAATTATTGCCATGAGGATGAACCTATTTGATTTGACCTGATTATTTAATTGGAGATTCAGCTACACAGCACAAAAGTTTCCATCAAAAGACCATTTTTAATATAACTGTAGGTCTCGTTAGATGTTCAAAATGAAGAATCCTTGTTTTCTTAGAATTGTTTTATTTTATCTCTGTTGAACAGATAAATTGGACTGTATGGACATAATTCAAAGCAGAGATGTGATAGCTGGGAAGGTAAAGGTAAAGGTTCCCCTTGACATTTTCAGTCCAGTTGTGTCCGACTATGGGGGGCAGTGCTCATCCCATTTTCAAGCCATAGAGCCAGCGCTTGTCCGAAGACAGTTTCCGTTGTCATGTGGCCAGCATGATTAGGGAACGCCGTTTTACTTTCCCCCCGAGGTGGTACAGTACCTATTTATCTACTCGCATTTGCATGCTTTCGAACTGCAAGGTTGGCGAGGAGCTGGGACAAAGCGACGGGAGCTCACTCCGTCAAGTGGGTTCGATCCTACGACTGCTGGTCTTCTGACCGTGCAGCACAGAGGCTTCTGCGGTTTAGCCCGCAGTGCCACCACGTCCCCTGGGAAGGGGTTACTAAAAGCAATCCCCATCACATAGTATGCACTTTTCTCATTGAAACTGCTTCCCTCTTGGTTAGAAAAGAAAACTCTAGCTTTGTATTTTTCTTAGAAATTCCCATTTCTGCCTCCAAGGACTGCCAGTAGATTAGGATATATCTTGACTCATAAAGTTATACATTCGCAAAGCCTGAATTGTCTTTCAGAGAGAGAGAACTGTGCACAAAAGCATGTGTACCCTTCCAAAATGCATACAATTAAAATATACACATAAAATATACACAAATGCATATAAATGTGTTTTAGTCAATGCAAAATTTGTGTCCAAAATACATATAGGCCAAGATTCTACTGTGCTCTTATGCCTGTAGAAGGCAAAAAGCCTAACTTGCGATGGCTTCTAAATGGCAAGTAATGAGTCCCCATTTGTGAGTTAGACTTGATTCACAAAGCATATTCATTTCAGTGCATTTACTCCAAGTAGGAGTTATATTGGATTTAGTCCATAAATTATATAAATTGAGATATGTGAACTTTAATTTCTTGTTTAATTTCTTAGTGTCCCTTTGATTTCTGAGGAAATGAAAATAATTGTAGTACTGTTTTTTATTTTTCACAGATAAATGGAAATGTACCAACTCTTGCTGAAATACAAGCACAAGTATCTTGTATATGATGTTCACTGTGAACAGGAACTATAAATGAACAGGTGGATTTTTAACAAGTGATTCACTTTTTCCATAGAAGACACAAATTTATTAGTGAACTTTGTTGATTCATTCAAAAGGAATTTCAGATGAATGTAAACAGGGTTTGTTATCCTGAGTTGGCATGAATGAATGGATCAAAGACTCAGAGACCAGGACTAAAATTCAATGTCTGCCATTGCATTCATTTGAGCATTTTATAAATCCCCAAACTTGGTTTCCCACTTGCAGTGCAGTTGAGATCCAACTGCAAGTTTGTGTTACGGTTAATATGGATCTATAATGCGAGTGATCATTCAGGCAAGGACACTAGAGCTCTTAAGTATCTCACCTAACAAGAAATCCCAGGATTCCACAGAATGGAGCCAAGGTGGAATCAACACTTGGTGTAATGATGCACTGAGTATATAATCTCAGCTTGCCACCTGAAATGCTATCAAGATCCAAGAAGAAGTTTAGGTTGTAGCTGCTGGAGATATATGAGATATTTGCTATATCAAGATATTGGTGCTCACAGCAGTTGTACCATGCAAAATGTACTCAAAGCCTGCTTCCTTGGCTGAAGCTCAGGTGACTAACAGGAAAACAGGAAGACTGACTGACACTGGAACTTCCTCCCATGGGAGGCCA